TGAAATATGGGACTCATTTATACAGAATACACTGGGTTAAAAAAAAAACAGGTTAGTCATATAACTCTGTTACAAATGTTATTCAAGTACAGATATATTTGTATTAGATAACCATATATAGAACTGAAACTGTGTACTATTATAGTGATATATTAACTTTTTTATTGTACTGTTTCACTTTTATGTTAAAGCACTGTTATGTATTTTTTCTATTTTTGTAATAAAATTTAAAAAACCAGTTCACAGCTGGTTTTGGTGTCTGTTAATTAGCAAAATTTTGGAATGCCAGAACTCTAGAGATTTTTAATAAGGGAGCAGTGAAGTTTATACTCAACTAGGATACATGTCAATAATTAAAAATATTACGAAATTCCAGTAAGCCTTTATAACAGTGTTTTTCAAACTGGCTGGCTGGGGAATTCTGGGAGTTGAAGTCACACATCTTAAAGTTGCCAAGTTTGAGAAACATTGTTTTATAAGAAAACCAACAATGGGTAACTTGAAGAATTGGAATTGTGTATCACAATACTGTATTGTCAAACATTATCAAATTAAAATACTGTACTTGAGTGAATGTAATTCTGCCTCTACATATTGCGCTTGTTCATTTTGTGATGAAATTTTGCAATGTTAATTTGGATCTGCATGTTTATAAACTAAAGCACAGATTAATATTTAAAGACTTCATTTTCCTTTAATATTATGCCAGATGCATTTTTAATATCGTCTCTTTCTAATTTTATGGCTGTTTGTAAATATAGGTTTATTGGGATTAGGACTGCGATATAAAGCCTATGTGAAAAAACTGGGCCATGGAGTAAGTAATTCTATTTTTTTAACCATATTACTAATACATTGTATTAATGCATTCATTAAGGTAAAGAAAAGATGCCTTTAAGTAGAGTTTGACTCCTACTGACTAATTCATACAATAATCTTGGCACTGTTGAAGAAATTGTAAGCCATTGTTTTCTTTTGCATGTTTTTTGATATCCCAGGTTAACTATCAACCCTAGAATTCCCAGGTGGTTGACTATCCAAGCACTAACCAGTTTTGTTCCAGTTCAGCTAAGATTGGTTAGATGCTGCCATCTGTTGAGGCATGCAGTCATTGCCATATAAATAATAATTTGAAAGGAGTGAACAGAATTATACACAGTACTATTCAACATTTATTTATTTATCAAATGTGTACACTTCCCATCTCACTACACACACACACACACACACACACACTCTCTCTCTCTATATATATATATA